TGTGTGTGTGTGTGTGTGTGTGTGTGTGTGTGTGTGTGTTTATATATCATAATAGAACAATTAACTAAAGATTGGAACTTTACCGAACTAGAATTCTTCAACACTCAAGAAAAGACACTTGGAAGATGCAATCTTTCTACTGCGCCGCCCCTTTACTAGGTTGGGGGCTTGAGCATGAAAGTCGTTTCTTGTTCGCTCAATTCGTTGTTTGTTCGCTCAGTCGTTGCTTGTTGGATGCGCTAACGCGCTTTAGTTTGATTGCAGCTCGCGCAAGGCGCTGACATTTTTTGGCTCATCACGACAAGGACAATACAAAAATGTACTAGTGCAACTAATCGGTCAAGACCAATTGTACCGTTGACACTACAACCGTTCTGATGGGGTGTTCACTTCCATTTAGGTTGTGAACCCTAAGTTCTTGTTTTGGTAACTAATAGAATGATCTTCTATTCATCCGACAATGACCCATTCTATCTAAGTGCAAAACAACAAAACATAGAACTCGTTTAATCGAATATGATTCTCATTCATAAAGGGCAAAAGTGTAATATCATTCAAAGTCAAGCTTTTAGTATATAACACCAACAATGTGTACCGTCAAATTTTTAAAAACTTAAAGTCCATATTACCCTCAAACTTTTAAAAAAATAAAAAAAATTTTATTATATTTATTATTTAAGTTCAACATTTATAGTTTATAGAAAAATAAGTTTTTTGGCTAAAAATTTGGTTTAAATTGAAACTTTGCAGCAAATTGCATAATATTTTTATTGATGAGAGCTTATCAAATGAACACTATTAAGCAAAAAATAAATAAATTTGAAAAGATATGATTGCACAAAATAAAGAGAGTAAAAAATCAACATTCAAATATGTAAAAATCCAACTGAATACTGAGTTTTATAAATTACTAAATCTATCTACAATCAAGAGAACGAAAGAGTAAAATATTACAAAAATTTTTAAAAACTTATCTACAAATGTATAATATAAGGATTGTTAGTACATTTTTCAGAATTATTAATGTATTGCAAATATTTTACATTTCTATACTTATTTTATATTATTTCCTTTATATATATGTACATATATATTTTTTATTTAAATATATATATATATTAATTTAAAAAAAAATTGGGGGGCCCTTGGGCCCCATTCCGCTCTGTCACTGATTCCAACAGTAGATTTTTGAAAGAGGATGGAAATAAAAATTCCAACTGAAATTACATATTCCGACGGTAAAAAACTGTTGGAAAAATAACCGTTGGAATCATCAAATTGCATCTAAAATTCCAATGAAATACTCATTCCAACGGAATATTTCATTGAAAATTCTGTTGGAATGATTCCAACGAAAGCTATGTCATTGGAATATCCGTTGAAATTTTCATTAGAATATATTATCGTATGATTTTTCGAAGGAATATAACAATTTTTTTTGTAGTGTATATATAATTGCTGATAAACTACAATAAATTTTATTCAACCAACAATTAAAAATAATAGTAGTTCATTTAACAAAAATATGTTCACCATTTAATAAAAAATATATAACTTTCAGTTACACGATTTTATTTTGACATATCTCATTTTGGATGGTGTCCATTTCTGTAAATCCTTTTTATGTCTTGAAATACAATTTTTTTCTTTATTTTGGTACTAATATTATATATATACTAGTATTATATATATATATATATATATATATATATTGGTATTATATAAATACATATTTCACAACTAATTAATAATGACTACAAATATCTCTATTTTCTATTACAATCATACAATAATATTTTTTTTTTCGGATGTATAAAGATACATTAAATATTTTGAAAAATCTAATCTCATGAAATGAAACCCTCCTACAAAATGGTCCTGCAATACATTTAAAAAGTTCAATATTATTAATATCACTATCTAACTTATATTTTGATATTATATGCATATAAATAACTTATAATATTTTATTTATTTATGTGAAAATTTGTACATACCACATCTCTTGAGCATTATCAAATCCAACTCAGCTTGTTTATATCAAATGAGTCAAGTCAAACTCGAGTCTCAACGACTCGAGCTTATTCCATAATTTGGCTCAATTTACAGTGAATTGTGAATTGTGATTGCATTACTAATGCAGTCAAAATATCTTGTCGGAAGAAATTAACGTGGAAGTCTTTCAAGATTAGCTAATGCAATATAGTCAATTAGCCAATCTACTTTAATAAAGTTGCCCGTATAAAATATTGGCAGATACAAGACTGTGATAGCTATATAATATGATCAGTTGACCCCGTGATCTTCATGCGAGGCGGTGATGGAGGTGGTCATGGCGGTAGGGTGACAAATTGCTTATGTCAAATTATTATTTTGTTGGCTAATAAGTATGCAATATGATGTGTTAACTGTAAATTAATTGGACTTGCAATTTAATTAAATTAAGACAAGGAAATAAAAAATGCATATGATTTATTTAATAAAAAGGTACAACATAAAAATCATTCAATGATTTGAAAATTGGACCCATTATGATTGCCAACTATAAAACATACTACTACCTCCTATTTTTAATACATGTCGTTTTGAGAAGTTGGACGTTAAGAATATTTTTTTTTTGTCAATAATAACCTTATTTAATGAAGATAAAGATGAATGTTTTGAGAAAAAAGTGAAGAGTGAATATGAAAAGAGGTAATGTATTTATTAGCTAAATGAGGGTAATAATGGAATATTAATATGTAGACAAGATCCAAAACGATATTTATTTGACAAATAATTGATAAAGCTAAAATGACATTTAAAAAAAAAAAAAAAGGAAGGAGTATGATTTATTAAATATATTTAACCATATAAATGGTTAAATTACTATTTAACAGTTGTGACATGGAACAAGTAAAATAAAATTGATGTTAAGCCAAGAATCACAAAGCCATACAAACAAATGAACATTTAAGTAAATAACGAAAAGAGTAATTGGGTCTCATCGGGATTAACTGAACATGGATTTCATAAACCACAAGAAAAAGTTTATATATATATATGTTGTTCTAGAAAAAAATGCCTTGAGTATTTGTCATCTCAATATTCTAATAGAATTTTTCAATGTAAATTCACTTTACAAGGACTATAAATTGTACAATGTACGGAATATCATATTCATTGTTGAAAATCTTTCAACTTATAATTATAATAATAGTGAATTGTTGATTGAATTTTCAATTACTTTTATAGCATTGATTTATTTCATTTATCTAATGACCACACTATAATTTGGTGGTGTGCTAGTATTTCAATGGGGTAAAATATTCAGACTCCCTATATTATATACGAGATTTATGCGTTTTTCTCTGATATGTGCGCAAAATATTTAACGGAAATATTCCGTTGGAATGTGTTTTTCAATGGAATTTTAGATGAAATTTGATGATTCCAACGACTATATTTTCGACGACTATTACCGTAGAAATTTCAGTTGGAATATTGCAATTTTTGTTGGAATTCTTATTTCCACCCCTGTTGGAAAATCTACCGTCGGAATCGTCAAAATCCAACGGAAATTCTAATGGAAACTCATTCAAACAGAATATTTTTGTTGGAATTTCCATTGAAATTCATTGAAAAATTCCAACAGAAACATTAGCATTGAAATATCCATTGAAATTGTCACTGGAATAATTCTAATAGAATATATATTCCCGTTGGAATTTCATCATTTTCTTGTAGTGAACAAACTTAATTATGGTGCCTGTGGCTTCTAGTGAAGGACCAACTTCTCACTAATGTTGAACGGCGGCGCTGGCATTTGACGTCAGCGGCAATGTGCGAGGTCTGCAACATCACGGAGGAGTCCACGTTACATGTTTTTCGCGAGTGCCCCATGGCGGCCGAGATTTGGCGGCGCCTGCTGCCAAGCCACGCACAAACGGAGTTCTTTTCAGCAGACCTGGAAAAGTGGTTAGCCTCAAACTTGATGTTCCCCTCGCGAGTTGGTGGTGATGGCTGGGCGAGCATTTTCGGTGTGGTTGTGTGGAAATTATGGCGTTGGCGGAATGAGAACCTTTTCACGGGGAAGAACCGCAATGTGGAGGGTGGTTTACACGAGATTAATTGCTATATCTTGGGCCTGACGAGGGTGAACGATGGTGCCCGTAAGCTTGGCGAGACGGGTAGAGTGAGAACCTCTCAGTGGATTAGCTGGGACCGACCCGCTTTGGGCTGGGTCAAGGTTAATTCGATGGCTCCTTTAATCCGGCGACTGGAATGGGGAGTGCAGGGGGGCTGATTCGAGATGATCAAGGACATTGGCTCGACGGCTTTACGATGAATATAAGGTTGTGCTCGATTATGGCGACAGAATTATGGGATTTTTTCCAGGGCCTTTCGCTAGCCTGGGAGATGGGATACAGACGCATTGAGGCTGAAGTTGACAATGCAAGCGTAGTGGCCTTTGCCACTTCGCTTGATGATGTCCCGGGAGTGCATCTAGGCCTCGTGTCGGGAATCAAGGAACTTCTAGGTCGCGCATGGGTAGTGAAGGTGCGACATGTTTTCCATGAAGCGAATTCTGCGGCCGACTTCCTGGCTTCCTTCGCAGCGGAAGGCCCTTTTGGGTACCGGTCATTCAGTGCTCCGCCGAAGGGGCTTCGTCAATGGCTACAACACGATATTATCGGAGTGGCTCACACACGAGTCACCTTAAGCGTAGCAAATTAGGCTTCTTGGCCTCTTCCTTTGTACAAAAAAAAAGGTGCCTGTTAACATGGTATTTGACAAGTAAAAATATATTTTAAACCTCCTTTCAATCTCTAATTGTCGTCCTCTCACGATGGAAATGGACTTCTAATAGCAAACTATTAATTTGTATTGTAATATATATATCATCATCAAGCAATTACTCTACGTATATTAATCTCAACTTTATTTATGTTGACCATACGTAATAGATAATTTATTAAAATATATAAGTGTGCATGTATATGTTCATATAAATGTATCTTCTCAGACCAATTATTATTCCAGTGTCATTATTTAACCTATATATAAAGAAAATTGCAGTACAGACACATTTTGGGAGGTGATTTTTTTAATGTTACACTAAGCATAGGACTATAAGACAACAAGAAAGGACCCCATTAGCAATTATTGTTCAATTAATTAAAGGTTTTGATTAATTGGGTCCAATTGGGTTTCTTATGTTGTATCTTGTATGTTCCTTGAGAGACGAGAATAGAACATGCATGTTACAATTTGATAGGCTTTTCATTATATACACGGTTAAATAAACTACGCTTAAAGAAAAAGAAAAAAAAAAAAAAATTTAAACTGCAATTTGTCAAATTAACGTCGTCTTTGAAGAACGTTTTTAGCCATCTCTCTAGAAGCCCTAAATCTCAAAATTCCCTTGCCGAAAAGCAAATACTTCTTTTCATTTCACCGCTGCCTCCTCGCAAGGCCTTTCTCGTAGGCCGAGGTCGACCACTGCTGACAGCGCCACTCGTTCTTCTAAGAGTCGTGGACCCTCCCCACAGGTATAGGGTTCGTCGTATCCTTGTTGTTCGGCGCCTATGTCTTGGTGCGAGACTTCGTGATTCTGAGGTAGGATCGCTCGGCGGGCTCCGACTGGCCTCCTCAAAGCTTGTCGGGACTGAGATATGGCTCCCTTGTTGGTGTATATACTGAAAGTTTGAATTTAGACGTATTTACACTGAATCGGTTTGAATGAAAATCATGTTTAATTAAACAAGTCTATGTTATGTTGTTTTGCACTTATATAGAATTAGTCGTGATCGGGCGAACAGAAGATCATTCTATCAGTTAATTGCGAAACAAGAATTGTGGTTCATAACCCAGATGAAAATGTACAACCCATCGTGAACGGCTGTAATGTTAACCGTACATTTGGTCTTCACTGATTAGTTACAGTAGTGCACTTTGTGTATTGAACGGATCCCAGAGAGGAGAAGTTCGTTTTATATTGATCGTCGTAAACGAACTAGGTCTCGGTTAACTACCGTGTACTCTTAACCCGTAAGATATAAACATGATGTGCATGCAGTAAATATTACTTTAATTCAATTGGGTGAGATTCAGTTTACTTATTGTTTTGGGTAATATTATTGTATGTACGATGTGCAGTTAGAATATTTACGGTCACCGTGTACGTTAGTTTGATGATGTCCCCAAGATGAGCTCATGAAGGATTATTATGTTCAATCTGGCCAGTGGAATTTATAATTCCGACATAATAATAATAATGGTATGAGTGGTACTAGTCTCGGTTATAGACGTCGATTATTTTAATTGTCAGTAATTAAATTAATTGATGATATTATATCTTAAACATGTGAAGATAAATCGAGTAATTATTATTGGAGCCTCGAATATAATTCAAGAATTAAATTGGGAATTTATTCAATAATACTACTTTAAACGAGAATTATACCAACCGGATACATGGAAACTGACCAGTGACCTCCGACGACCATTCTCCGGTGATCGGAGTACTATCGGTGACTAGACACCGCCAGACGCGGCGGTGCCGGATGATGAAGATGTGGTCATCGACCCTTCCGAACCCGAGGGCGGGCCACACTCGAGCCAGGGGTCGTAATGGGCCGGGACGACTGTCGGGCCTGTGCGAAACAGGCTCGCGAAGGCCGCGTACGTCGAAGTCGCGCAACGCGTCAATGTGCAATAAGCGTCAGTTGGCTGATGAGGCGCGCAAGGCAGGGACACGGCACGAAGAATTGCGCCGTGAAAGGATCGCGTGGCCGGATGCAGATGGATGGCACCGAGTGCACGACAGGGGGTTCAGGCGAAGCACGGGGAACGCCCGTCGTATAGTTCGCACGCGCTAAGGAAGATTGGCATGGGAAGATGTGGCGGACCAAAGACGAGTCCCTGACAAAGGGATCGGGCGGTGCGCGAGGGGTGGATGTTGGGTGGATAGCACACACAACGGATGACCGAGAAAGGGCGCGCAAGCGAGTAGAGGCTAGCATGAAGGGCACTCGCCGACTGAACGACGCACGAGCGGGCAGCATAGTGCAAGGCGTGAATGGCGAGCATGCACGCGGGGCACCGAGTGAACACGCGAGGGGCGCTGGTGATGAAGATCGTGTGTTCTGATTGCCGATAAGCCATGAATCCGCGCCTTGAATCGCCGATAGGTGTTTCTCTAGCCACAGCCGCGCCTATTGAAACGAATAAAATTGCAATAGAGATCTAAAAGAAATCTAAGACAAAGTGTTTGAA